AAACTTATAGTGTGTGGCAGAACCAGACTCCGCCCACAAGGGGCGGGTTTGGGCGGAAATTCATAACTCATGTCCCCATGGACCTAGAAAGTTCAAACTTGGTAGGAGTACAGGTACCGTGATGGGGAAACTTATGGTGTGTGGCAAAACCGAACTCCGCCCACAATCGGCGGGGTCTGGGTGAAAATTCATAAATCTGTCTCAGTGGACCTAGAAAGTTCAAACTTGGTAGGATTACAGGCGACAGGATGGGAACACTTACGGTGGGTGGCAGGACCAGACTCCGCCCACAGGAGGCGAGGTTTGAGCGGAAACTCATAAATCCGATAAAGGTCTATAATGAAAATCAGCTCATGCGGCTCCGCCTCTCATGGCTAGAGCCCCTAGCGCGCGAGAGCGTGCGTAGCCGCCTGGTAACATTAATCACGAATCTAACGCTGCTAACAAGTTTTATTGTAACATTTCGGAACGGCACCATGGTTTCGTCAATGCAGATATCCTTTTCAGTTTTGTAAACATCACCAAACGCTTTGTTCATCAAATCAATAACAGGCTGCACCTTGTAGAGTTGATTGCTCTTGTCCGAGGTATCGTTGTCGGCGAAGTGGAGAGAGTTCAAAATCTCAATGAAACGGTTTCTTGTCATCAGTCTTGCTGCGGAAGATCCGCTGTATATAATTCTTGTAGACCAGTATTCTTTGAGACCAGACCTCTTCTCGATGCTCATATGAAAACAATTGGCTAAGAACTTGTAATACTCCTGCTCTTCGAGCACAGACCAAGTCGAATACTTGGCGGATCCTTAACGGTTCGCTTCTTCAATCAAAAGTTTCACCAATTCGTCTGTCATGAATAACTTGTAGAACATCTTCATTCTCCGCTTCTTCATCGCTATTAATAAGCAGTTGCACGAATGAATTCTCCAAAGCTTCCATCTGGAATACCAGCAGAATCGGTAACAGAACTTCATTGGACTTAAAGTTGCTCTCCTGGAATGAGATGAGGGGACACAAAGTCGATGTGTGGAGAGAAGCGCTCCTTACGCCTGGTCGGATCACTTTGAAGTCAAAGAACTTCGGCCAGTTGGAATTGTTATCGCAAGATTCAGCACTAAGTAGGTTTTATTTGATTTAGATCCAGCGCACACAGTTGACCACCAAAATATCTCTTGAACCACAGAGTGTTAGACAGATATGTTGCTCTCCATATGCGAAAACAATATAGAAAAAATCATATTCCAATTGTAGAGAATTCACAATGTTAGAAAAAAACCGTTCAGTGGGGCCAAGTGCATCACATGGTGGTGCACCCCGCGAGCCGAAAAAAATCGCTTGGCCACGCGCGTGGAAAAATCGCAGAGGGCGCCGGTACGCAACGTGTTAATGATTCTTGAAAGTGCCTCGGTACATTTTCCCTTTAAGCTTAACATTCCCTTTGTTGTATTGATTTTGGCCTTTCTGCTTACACCATGGTCACGCTGTTTATTAAGATTATAGCTTTTTGCTGCGTTTTTACTTGGCGGCTGTGAAAATATGCGAACTCTGGAGCCAAAGCCTGACTTTTACAACTGTTGCTAACGCATACACCATGACGGCAAAGGCTTAGTTCACATCCGATCAAGTGGAGGAGATTGACCTGCTCACTTACCTGACGGAATGAGTCTCTCGTTACATTTCCCGCACACTTAGATGAGTGCGAAACAAATTCGCGTCTTGACGAAATGCGCTTGGTTTTCTCCTGAGTGCAGCACTTTCCAATTTTGGTGATTCTGGATTCCTTTTTTGTGAAGTAATTAAAAAGGATGGATGAAGCTGTGAATGTTAACTGACTTTTGTGGGTTCCACACTCTAAGAACAGAACCTCCAGTGGATGTTTGTTGTGCGAATGAGAAAGCTTCTTACTGTTTACAAATCCGGCATTCAGCTGTCATAAGGGGTAAAGCAAATCTCTGGGCTAGGGATTGTCCTTGCTTTTAATAATTTGTTGGCTTTTAATACTACACTTCAGGACAGGAGGTGCAGCACTTAAAGGTGTTGTGCCTGATATACGCGGTTATCTGGATCGCATCATCAATAAATGTATGGTGTTCCTGGCTATACTGATAGATGGCTTTTTTCTTAGTGAATTTGAAAGTGGTTTTAATCATTTATTTTCTTGAGGAAAACACAGTGTCTTTCACTCATCTTTGCACCTTTGTGTTACACCCACTTATGACCATGTGCAATTTCAGAGTTTCTGCATTTGGAGGGTTGAGTTGCTGACATCTCGAGGCGAGGTCCGTAGGGCCATCAGTGATAATTCTCCATTCTTCCTTTGGCTGTGTCCTGCAGTAGTTTTGCTTCAAATAGGTGCGTACGGTCAGGAATTTAGTTTTTAAGGTTATTTGTTTATGATCTTTTAAGATGTATTTGTTAGAACTTTTTCGGACTCGCTAAAATCTCAACCTTGATCTCAGTGATATCAAGCGAATGGGCGTTTTTCGAGTCGTCAACTGAAATGACCTACGTGGTATCTCTACGACATGGGAACGCATGGAGATGTGCGCCAGGAGACGATGTGAGTAGCGGAGTGGGATTGGAATTTTATGTACTACAGTGCGTTTCATAATTATAAGGTCACCCTCAAATTTTGCACTTTCGAAAAAAGCAGTTTTAAGGATTTTTTAGCATCATGAACAGATTCCCCAGCACGAATAACCTAGGTATCCGTTTTTTAGCCGCAGCTCCATTTTTCTGAACTTTTTTAGAACAATTTGTCGGTTTTTGCACCGTTTCATAATTATAAGGTCACCCTGAGAAAGTGAACAATTATTCATGGAGGAGAGGAAATTTCGCGTTGGAAGATACTTATAAAGGTAAGCATGTGTAGCAAATGCATTTCTAATCCTGACTGTCAACATGGCTCGTGGTCATCTGCTTTCCTCTGATGAGAAGGCTCCTTATGAAGGTGGGCTCAGTACTCGAGCTATCTCCAGGCAAATAGGGAGATCCCCTTGGTCTATTCAAAGATTTCCGGATAGCCCTGATGTCCCTAAATATAATACCGACTGTGGACACCCATGAAAGATTACTGCCCGTGATGAGCGAAAGATTCTGAGGACTGTTTCCAACAGTACGTCCTCCTTGAGCCAGATCCGGTCGGAATTAAACCTCTCTGTGTCGAAAACTATTGTCTGGAGAGCAGTGAGAAGATGCGAGAACATCACCAGGCAAGCAATGGAGAAGGTGCCACGAATTACCGATCGCCACAGAGAGGCTCGACTCGGATTTGCAAAGATGAACCTAGGGAGAGATTGGGCAAAGGTAAATCTGCATCAAATCTCACCATAGAGCTGAATAATTTCCATTCAGGTCGTCTTTTCGGATGAAACGAAATTCAGTCTGGACGGTTCTGACGGAAACAAGCGATACTGGCGCGACTTGAGGAAGGAACCAGTCTACTTCAGCCGTTGCACTTTCGGTGGAGGAAGTCTATGGTGAGGGGTGCATTCTGCAATGATGTTGTGTTGGATCCACCTACCGTGAATTGCAGTATGGATTCCAAGGATTACCAGACCGTCTTGGAGCATCATCTTGTACCCTTTCTATGCCATCGCCGTCACCATTCATGTGAGCCGTGCAGCGGATGAGTGGCTGCAATGCCCATAAATAAGCGTCCTGCCATAGCCAGCCTGCAGTCCCGATATCAATGCGATAGAACATATCTGGGGCATAATAGTCAGACAAGTTTATGCGAATAACCATAAGTTCCAGGGCACAGAAGAGCTGAAGTGGGCAGTTATCGAAGCATGGAGAGTAAACGATGAGGAACATCTTCGAAACCTAGTTTCTAGTATGCCACGCAGGCTCTTTGATGTTGCTCTTAAAAAGGGAGGAGTATAGATTATTAAGTGTTGTACATATGCCATCAACGTTAATAAATCATTCACTCTCTCAGGGTGACCTTATAATTATAAAACGGTTCAAAAGCCGACATTATCTTTAAAAAATTCATAAAAAATTTGAGGTGAAAGATATTGCGACCAAAATCTGAATACGGAGGTACATTGTGATGAGGAATCTTGCAGTGTTTGCCGAAAAATTCCATTCCGGCTGCTTTCTCCAGAATCGCAAAAATCGAGGGTGACCTTATAATTATGAAACGCACTGTATTATAGATTGAGTTGATTTAGTAAGCACAGCGAATAAGGTATTCAAGCATGGATTGGGTTGCCGCTGAGTACGTGAAGATCAAGGGGTATGGGGTCTCTGGTTGAACCAGTAATAGAAAAGCACGGCTATGCTGCCGTACTGATGGAGCCAAGCGAAAACAGGTTATTATAGCGTAGCTTTTCCCATTATACGCTACACAGGGTTACACGAAAGATATTCAAACATGTATGGTTAGCAGTTTGATCAGTATCCGCACTACCTTAAAACCGTTTAGTCCAAGAAATTCGCCCGGTAAGACATAAAAGTAGCTTGGTGCGCTATTATTATGGGTGATCATGCTTATTTTGGGTCAGGGATCGAATATTGCCTAGATAGGTGCTTTGAACAATACCATTTCTTTAGCTAATCGTGGGCAACTCTCAAATAGAAGAAAGCAAATTGAGTTGTTCGTAATTAGTGAATAGTATGTTGTTCCAGTTCGAACATAGAGTATTGTGGTCAAGCCTCCTTAGTGGTTTGATGCTAGTCGCCTCGATGATTTTTGCGACGCTTACCGTACGTCTTGTGGAAAGCCGTCAGACAATCCTGATCTCGGTAAGTGATCCTTTCGAAAAAATCGAGATATCCTTACTATATATAATTGTTTGTATGTATGTATGTATGTATGTATGTATGTATGTATGTATGTATGTATGTATGTATGTATGTATGTATGTATGTATGTATGTATGTATGTATGTATGTATGTATGTATGTATGTATGTATGTATTAGGTGTGTGCATTAATTTCCGCCGTTTTTCGCTTGCAAAAACATACTTATTACAAAATTAAAACTAAATGTACATTAACCAATGTATCGCCCATCGATAGCTACAACTTCTTGCCATCTTCCTTGTATCTTGTTGACTCCGGGTCTAAAAAAGTCTTCATCTTTTGAGGCAATCCTGTTATCCATCCATTTTCGCACTTCTTCGGCATTCCGGAAGCGTATATCTGCCAAACTGAATTGCATGGACCGGAATAGGTGGTAATCAAAAAGAGCAAGATCCGGGAAGTATGCGGGGTGAATAAGGTGATCCCATCCAGCAGCTGCAATTTTTTTTAGAGGACATTCTTCGCAACATGGAGTCTGGCATGTTCGTGGTGGAACGGTGCCTCATGATATTTTCTTGCGATTAAGGTGAGCTTCTAGGTGAGAGCATCCTACAAACTGTCAAGTTGGTGTTTGTAGCGATCAGCAGTAACAGTTTCGTTCGGGCTCAGCAGCTCATAGTTCAAAACACCCTTTTGATCCCACCACCAAATGCCACCAAATGCACACACAGCATTACGTTTTGGCAATAAACATTCCCCTTTCTTTGCATACTCTCGAGTGAAGAGAAATTATCTCAGCAGGACCGTTCAGATAAAGCTTGTCCTCCATAGAAGCATCCGATTGGCTTCAATGCCAGTTTTCTTGAAATCAAACAGCAGGGGAAGGGCCCCCCGGGGGAACGGTTTATCACGTTCCATGACCAATCAGTCTGAGAGCAACGGGATTTTGGGGAAAAACTGATCTGTCTGCCCTTAAGCAGGTAGCCAATACCCTATCTTACAGAACGTGACAGGTTTCACCGGTAAACCTCTAACATGGTTCGCGCAACGGCCCTTGGAATTCGGCGGCGGAAATTAATGCACACACCTTATATGTTATTTTATTTCACTGTAAATTCAATATTACCTGAAAAACACCTTTAGAGTTTGGGGCAACTTCGGGATGGGTGGAGCCTGAGATAAGATCGACAGAGCACATATGAGCTCTTTTCAGATGTGTACAATTACAAAGGCGAGGAGGCCAGAAAGAAATAAAGGTAGTAGCAAAGACCCAATACGTGCTGAGCATGCGTAACCCTAGCGAAATTCCGAATTATATGGGTGGAGCGTGCATTTAAAGGGAAGACACTTTTTGAAACTAAATACAACTTTGTTTAAATGCATCCTAGGAGACGGCAAAAGGTGGTTGCAGGTTAAAGAGCATATGTGGTCAAAGCTTCAAAGTGGGCGGAGTTTGCACTGAGGTGTGCGGGGCTAAGCTCAAAAATTTATATCTCTGCTCAAATGCTTTCTAGAAGCGGAGGAGCAAAGGCTATCCCTACTATATATAATTCACAAGTTGTCTTTTGTACTTACTATGTATGTTTGTGCGTCGCGAAATCCGATTTTAGCTAAGAAATGCCTGAAGAGGTTCGGCCAAGTACGAGATGGATGGGTGCCTAGACCATGATCAATAGACAGAGCGCGTATCAGACATGCAGGGCTCGGTCCGTAGGGGCGCGACAAGCGCTATCACGGGCGGAGCTCACATCTGCTCCGCAAAAATAGATCAAGGTAAGGAATGGGTCAACAAATCAGATTAAAGGCACGGTTCACGATAAAAAATGTTACTGAGTTCTTCCTCTAAGAATACTCAGCGCTCCCCGTGGGTGGTAAAAGGGACCCTCTCGCTCCACAATCTCGACGCTTAGGGCGTAGTTGAAGGCCCGTTGCTGCCATAGTTCGCTTTCCCGCCCCTCGATCGATGTCATATTAGATGAGTGCCGAGACAATACAGATTGCAACTATTCGTTCTAAGATTCACACACAATCAGCTTATTGCCGAGTGATGAGGCAATGTTTTTCTCCCATTCTTTTTTCCTCTGTAATTCTTTTTGCTGCTGCGATTCCTTATTGGATTTCCTACTCCTAGAAGCTGAAAAAGATGGGCTACTTTTGCTGTTACTAGGGTTTTTTATTTACTTACGTTTATAAGTGAGTGAATTTTTGCTTATCACAGTCTGTTATTCCCACCAGGACCCACACGCACGCAGTGAGACACATTGTATAGCTCGTCCGAGCGCCACACTCTTCTTTACATTTCTGGTCTCATTCTCGTCCAGCCCCCTTTTTACCGGTTTTCGAAGCCTTTTTTCACTTTGCAAACCGATTCACGCAGTTTCCTCACCTGCATCGCGCTATTTTCCATCTTATCTTCCATTTTTCACCATAATCTGGATTACCCAAAATTATCGTGAACTGTGCATTTAATGTGCTCTGGTTGTGAATTTAGTAGGCCGAAACACGCATATCTTCTTCCTGTGTCGCACAGACTATGAAGCAATCATCGATATACCTGCAGTGGAGTAAGGGCATATATTCCAGTACGGGCGCTTCAATCTTGGCCATAAACGATATGGCCAAAACCGGCGCCAATCGCTGCCCATAGCTAAACCTCTAGTCTGTGCAAAATACCTTCCCGACCACTTGAAAATGTTACAACTGTGGCACTCCTTCACGAGTGTCATCAGTTGGGATATAGACAGCCCTCGCATACTAATATCGTTCTGGTGCTGACCCAGAAGCTCGAATATATCTTCCATAACAGACCCACTGCTAACATTCCTATAGAGAGCTTCGACATCGAAGGATTCCATAACGCACGAATCACTAAGGTGTAGTGCGCCAAGGCGATTCAAAAACATTTGGGTGTTAGTGAGATGGGAAGGAATGAAGTTGAGAAGCTGCATTAGAATGGTATTAAGAAACCATGCGATTCGATCAGTAGGACAACCCAGCTTATTATAGGACGGACTTTCAGGGAAGTGGGATCTATCGAAGCTAGGTCGTTTTCGTCTAAAAACTTATGTATCTTCATGAGCAGAGACAGGACTGGGCAACAAGGCGACTCAAATTCGAGGCGTATTATTAAGGTTGAACTCAACCCTGCAGACCGTGCTACCAACACCCACATCCGGTTTAGTCTATTCAGCTGCGTTTTGAACTCATTAAGAGAAGTTGAGCGGTAGAGAGAGGTGTCTCCCAAATGGTGTTCTGTCTTTCAAGTGTGTTTGTTCAAGTGTGTTTCACAGTCAAGTTGTCTGGGAATCACTACAAACTCTCCTTGGTCACTGACCGATAACTTTATAGCTCGAGACTTTATTAAGTTTGGAGTTCCATAACACCACGTGCCTGCTCTCGCGAGATGTTAGATGTAGTGTGTTGCTTTCGGAAAAAAACTCAACACCTTGAAATCTTCGTCGGGAAAAACCCGGGAATTGGCATCTGAAACAATGTGTGGTTCCTGCTGTTTGAAGAACATGGCTGGCAAGGGAATGTTGAGCACATTTCTCACTTGTTCTGCCACCGAGGAGCCGTCGTCACACCTAGCCCTATAACGGAGTCGAACTTGAAGTTCGTGTAGACTGCACCTTACTTTCCGCATGAAAACTGTGGAAATGGACCTGTGAAGGTGAAGAATTCGGGCCAATTCCAAGATCTATATCTATAAGATTTAGATGGTAGTACCTCAATTGGAGGAAAAATTTCTTTTTTATTGGGTTGCAACATAAGTTCGTAGAGTTTTTTCACAAAGATTTATTTGTACCAGAGAACAATAATTATAATAATAAATTAACCAATGATGTATCCTCCACTACTGTTCACGACCTCCTCCCATCTCTCGACCAATTTGTTGATGCCGATTCGCCAAAAATCGGCCGTTGTGGTGTCGAAGAATTTGTTGAGCCAGTTTTTAAGATCCCCTTCGCCATTGAAGGTAACACCCCTCGTTTGGTTTGACATAAAGCGGAAAAGGTGATAGTCGGCAGGTGCAAGATCCGGAGAGTGCGGTGGATGCTGGAGAACC